ATAGAGCAATTAATCGATAATCTTTGGATGGAAGGATAATTTTTTCGAAATTTTTAAGCATCAAAACAAAATGTAGAACATCAGGTATTCGGCCACAAATTATGACCAAGAAACTTCTTGAAATGACAAAAGTACGTCGAAAGTGAATACCGGAAATAGGTTTGCTTTTCAATTTGCGGTATTTGCTCTGGATATACTTTTGAATTCTCGATACTTCTGAAAAAATGACCGAAAATCCAGGAATCATCTCTTGATCAATCGATTTTCAAATCGTTCTTCAAAAGGCTGAAAAACCATTTTAACATTCAAAATCATAGATGCCCTGTGCGAAACGAAATACCAAATACATTTTTGAGTGGAGGGGTAGCAGATGGTATAAAAATAATTTTGTTCATCAAGGAGCCTCATCAAGTTCATCAATGCCCTGAGGAAGATTCGGCCATTTCACCCGTGATCATCACTTACAAATCAAAGGATTGAATTTTCGGGTTTGTCACAATGCCTGATGAACTTAGCACGAACAAAGCTGGCACTCATTGTTGTTTTCGGTGCGTGTACGCATTTGCGTAGTATCTAAAACGTTGAAAAGATTTCAGGAAGTACGTTGGGAAGATTGTATTGTTTCACAGACAGAGGCACTGCATGTGTCTTTCCGCGTTATATTCCGGGAAGTTTAATTAACTCATAGATTCGGGAAAATGTAGGGTTACCCTGTTGAAGGATTTTAGACCAGCTATACATACTTCCTATTCTTTTATTTCTTCTGAGACATTGCTAGTTTTGAATCATAATAATTTTTTCTATCCGGAAAGTATTTAAAAATAGTTGAAAGGCAATCAGCAAGGCTCGATATTTGAAGAAATACTTTAGAGAAACTGCAAGAGTCAAGGAAAAGTCAGGCAACTTCTATTTTGAAATGCAATGAGAGTGAGTTCGGAGCATCAATATGGGTGGCTGTGAATATTTTATTTATCAACCATCTTGAAGCCACAGTCCCTCCGGAACCAGCGTATCCAACAAAAATGACTGAAAGCTTTGATTGATGGATATTTTTAGGTAGGTTTTTTGGCTTTATGCGTGCAAAGTAGAATTTTATTGACATACATTACATCAAAATTGCTATGCTACTATCGTTAATGTAAGAAGAATAGTTCATTATATTTCATACACATTTGTAAGAAAATCAGAGTCAACGGACGATCAGGGCCAGATTAAGGGGGTGGCCACATGGGCCGCGGCCCATGGCGGCAAATCTAGCAGGCGGCAAATTTTGCAATTTTTTTAAATGTAGGTATAAAAAAAATCGGATTTAGAAAAAAATTACAAACAAAATCCTTCATTTCCTGAGAGAATAGTAATTTCTTATCGTCTTTCGGTGATACAAGAGACAGCACCTTTAATTAATCGAGTTAAGAGAGAGACCAAATAAGAAATTTGGCCAGGAACGGCGCGACTCAGAGAGAAATGATGACGAGGACTTGAGATGAAAAGGAGAAGCCCTCGGCGCGGCGGTCGGCATGTAACACATATTAGCGGCTACATTCCTACAAGACTGCACGAATACTTCACACATCGCATCAAACTTGTAAGCGGTCACTGCGGTCAGCGTGAAACGGATAGCGCCTACAAGAATGCATGCACACTTCACACATTGCGCCAAACACAATGCGGTCGGTCAGCGTGAAACGCATAGCGCCTACAAGACTGCGTGAATACTTCACGCATTGTATCAAACACAGTGCGTTCAGCAGCGGTCGTCGGCGTGAAACTCATAGCGCCTACAAAACTGTCGGAATACTTCACGCATTGCTCCAAACACGGTGCGGTCTGCGCGGCGCGGCGGCGGATGTCAAAATCATTAATCCACATTTATGTTAGATCTTTCATAATTTTTTCGTTCATTTCTTATGAATGGAAGGCCTTGTCATTCTTGTCAACGCAGAGATAGGTTTACGAAACTTAACGTTCACGCAAAGTTCGGTGAACTTTTGCTAGTAGTGTTGACAGGGCTTTCCCGAAAAACGTGTTCAACACAAGTAAACGAGTCTTGTGCACCCCTCCCCCGCTGGCACGTTCATTTGGTGGTTTTTATCGAGTTTCAAATCGAATGAGAAGGGGGTGGCAAAATATAGGCGGCCCATGGGCGGCAAGTAGGTGGATCCAGCCATGCGGACGGTATATTAAATAATGATCATTTTCATATGTTTATGTACTTAAAGTAATACAAGAAAATTATGGATCTGGTCTTTCTATTTGTGAAATTTTTGGTGGTACTCCATTCACACACAAAAAAATGGGAAAACATGAACACCAATATTATAAGTGCGACATTATTCGCTCTATTTTTGAGTAAGTATTTCGTAGGTATAACTTGAAATAAAAGGGTGGAAACGCCCATTCAATTACTCATGCACGCGATTCCTTATCGGATTCGGATGAATATATTAGAGCGGAAAAATCAAACAAAAAACCTGACTTTAATGTTCTTTGTCTCGTGCTTTGTCCAAGGCTTCCTAATTTTTTGTGGAGAGGACCAAGGGGGAGGGGGGGTGGTTAAATTCTGTGGTTAGGAAAAACGCTGGGACCAATGGCGTGAAAGTTATTTTTCTCAAGGAAACCAACTCATAAAATCAGTTCACCAATTGTGACTTTCAATTTCCGTCTTGAGACAGGCTGCATATTGCTAAAGTTTAAGCCGTGGAAAAAAGCGTGGACGAGTTCATTTCCGGGAACATCGAGCCAACAGCCGGAGCAGAAAAAGTGCAAAACATTCTTCATTTTGATACCCGAGGCAGGAGTTACGGATTTCACATGATTCTCATCCAAGGCGAGGAAAACTCTCAGGAATGTGACCAAGTGTGAAGTGTTTTTGTATAACCTCGTGTTAAAAAAAAGAGCTAAGTTAAAAACCTAGCTCGTATATAAATAATTAATATTTCTAAAATGAAACTGACTAATTTCAAGTTTTGACAAATTTTTTTGAACTTTTACTTTTACGTTTTTTTTGTCTCATTACGACTAATTTCTAATTATTTAGTGGACGCAAATAGCTGTAACGTAAAAGTTGACTCATTTTAGAAACGATTTATGTGCTACTGATTTTTAGATGCGGATAGGGTTTTTTATTGATGGATACTTGCCCTTGGTTCTTTAATGGTAACCACTGACCGAGCGAAGTCATGACCGGGAATGGTTATCGGAGACGTAGCTGTCAGAAAAATCTCACCGTTCATTTACCTGGAAACAAATGATGTAATGCTCAGGAGCAAAATGATTAACCTGTCTTATTATGTCGAGAATCAATGTGATGAATAAGACGGACAGGTATTTGGCCTTTGAATTGCAGTTGCGGGGTTTCCCGGTCATAAAAATGGGTAACCTATTGCTTTTACCGAATGAGTATCTTTCACGCTTGACTCGTTTCATAAGCTAGCATCTTTCAGTCTATTTCCTCGCAGCCATTTATATGCTTCAGCCCATAGTAAAGTGTAAAGCTAATACGTTTTTTGAGCGCTCAGCAGACCGGGAGCCCTTTTTGCTTTCAAACCATCGTAATAGCTCCTTAGTATAATAGTGTTAAGTGTAACAGTACGTATGTCTTGCATTTCAACTAATTTAATTTTTGGTCATTCATGCTTTGTTTCTTTCTTCATTCGGCACTTGAGTACTTTTGCCTTTGTATTTACTTCTTTCTTCAAAATCTTACTCTGTATAATAAAATCACGAGAGTAACGCGTGTAGTATAACACACATAGGCGTGTGGCGCTTCGGGTGGTTGAACCGCGTAGCGGTCATGGGGTGTACTCAAAGTTTATTACATTTTCATTACCATTTTGTTGTCCCTTGTATTCATTTTCTAGTTGAATTTTTCACAAAATTCCTTTTCAATAGCATTTAATTGCCTTAAATACGCACAATTCTGAATTAATTGCTTCAAATATTCACTTATTCAGTTATATTTGAATTTACTTTTTTAGCTTATGCTAAATTATGGAGACCATGTGCACACACGTAAGCCATTCGGCCGTGCGAGAGTGAGAGTTCTTGCTGTCTCAAATAATTTCAGGTGAGCTATCAGAAAGTCAAAGCATAACTTTTTCGCGTCTTTGCTTTCCGTGCAAGCGTGACACTCAATAATGATGCCACTATTCGACCACCAGGGTGCTCGTGTTGCCTACACTAAAAATTGCAGGCAAATTGCCATTTCGCTAGATTTCCACGTTCGGTGAATACATTTTTTATGTGTTCCGAATACATTTAGGGGGATACTACTATTCGACCACGTGGGAGCTCGTGTTGCCTACAGTAAAAGTTGAAGGCGAACTGATATGACGTTGAAGTCAGCTCTTCTTGTCTGGTAAAAAGCTGTTTTTTGCGTGTATTGCGAATAAGCGTGCCATTTCACGATAATATCACTCGGACGAGATGAATTGGACGAGAACCATATAAGACAAGAAAGAGGTGGATCTTGAACCTTTTCCAAACACAAGCTCTATATTCAAGAAGCGCAAAGTCTTATACAACTTGGACTGAAATCGTTCACATGTTGCTAAAACAATACGATAGGCTAAATTTTTTTTGAGCACAACGATTTCTTTTTTTAGTGTAGGCAAAGTTGTAAACGACCTTTTTTTCATTTTAATCTTAAGATGAATGATATTCTCCAGAAAATTACCGATTAAGTATCACAGAGGGTACAGTATAAAGTAACAGTAGTACAGGTAAGTTAAAAATTTACCTTCATCCGTATCAAGGAATTTGCAGAATCTGACGAATTAAAATATTTGCATTTTTACAGTCGGATTGCCTAGTCAAGAATCAGTAATTTGGAAAAAAAATATTTGAGCCGGTGTCGCAGTATGCATCTTTAGTAGAAGACGTATTTTTGGAAAATCGGTAAAATTGAATTTACACGCGTGCAGAGGAAGCCCAAAGCATATATATTTTTAGAAACTTCCCTCAAGGAGATGTTGAGAATACATCAAGCGTTTCTAACTCACCGTTGTCTTGTCGAATACAGCCATGCGGAATTGGGCGAGAGAAAAGCCCCACAGAAAAGTTGACACAACAGCAATTAAATTAACCATCATTTTTAAAAGAAAATTTGAAAACACCCAGAAAAATAAAGACGATTATTAACACTATAAACGCGAGGATGTCAGAATTAACAGGTCACTTTTGTATCTTTTATCATACAAATAAAGGTTCACATTATGAGCGCATAAATTTTTTCAAGTCACCACATCCACCGAAACCCGACTATGCAACCGATTGTTCGATGGCACGTAACTAAAGTATCAATTCGGAAGATAAGCGCGCGACGCGAGCGATGACGGATTAAAAAAAGGAGAGCAAAATGCCGGAGAGGCGACTTGGCAGGTGATTTTTCGGCGAATTTCGATTGCACATCTGCGAATCGGAGCGCATTGGGCATTGGGCACTGGGCAGAGCGATCCTATTGCGAAACGGGCACGTGAGCGACTGTGACTAGGGCAGCGGGTCGGTCGCGTCGCCGCGGACAATTTGATCTTGCCGCCAACTGTATCTTCGCGAGTCTGTTGACCCTGCCAGGGTGACGCTGAACGCGCACCGGCGCGGCGCTGCGCGCGCCCGCCACGCGCCGCGCGTCCCCAGACAAGTTCATCATGGGGCGCCGCGACGCCGGCAGCCGCCGCGCCACCCGCTGCTGGACCATGCGCCAGCGAAAGTCGTCTTTTTACGTGACTCGACCTCTGTGAGGTGTGAGTCACGCTGTTACGATTGGGATAGGTCACATAACGATAGAGTACCGGACCCATATGGGAAAAGTATTGCCATCCACACTGAGAAAAAACTATGGCTTATAAACCTATTAGAGGTAAATATGGAACACCACTAATAGTAGTACCTCTACATATAATAATAGCACATATACCTTAGTTATGGTCTCTGTACCTTAATTAGGTACAGAGACCTTAGTATGGTTCACAGACCGAGAATCATTAGTTTATTTACGACTATTATAGGTGTTCCATATTTACCACTAATAGGTTTATAAACCATAGCTTTTTCTCAGTGTGCATGGTGGGGGTCTTTGACTGCATTACGCGGCGTTATAAAGGGATGGGGGGTATATCAAACCAGGATGGACAAGAATGTTCATAAATGAGCGTTCTCCTACAAAAATTAGTAAATTTATGAGAAAACTGAGGCAAATTCATTCTTTCCAAACAACGAGTCGTAACAATTGTGATAATAAATCGTTTTTGATAATTTGGATTCATGGGCTGGCTGCCCCTTTGGACCCTAAATTTATTCGCGGATGCATCGGTGAAGGCTTGGTGGTTTTTGGTATCTGTCTACAATCTTGCTACACAGATATTCAGGTTCAATATACAGATTTTTTTTTAGTTGTGCTAAAAACAAGTCAGATAATCATTGTGAAAACTGACAATATAATTGCATTATGTAGAAACGTCAATGGTCATGTCGATGAAAGAGTGTGCACTGGAAAAAAGGATGAAGACAAAAAAGAGAAGAAGGAGGAGATAATTTTGTCAATGGCAGCTTCGCTGCTCTGACCCACGTCACTTTCTTTTTCTGCATCTGTGATGCAAATGGATGTCAACTCCTGGATGCAACTATTCGTGTTTAACGAATGTCCATGTTGCATATCAAAAAATTGAAGGCGATTTAAATTTCCTAGCTCCACTCTTAGCGATTCCTCAAGTTTTTATATTTTTGCTTTTCAACGGAGAAGGGGATGGAGAAAAATCATACTGAGGAGGGGAAAAGAAGATGCGAATAAAGAAGAAGAAGAAGAAGAAGAAGAAGAAGAAGAAGAAGAAGAAGAAGAAGAGGAAGAGGAAGAAGGAGATAGAGACGGAGGCAAATTGAGCGTTAAATTTCAATGATTCGCTTGTTGATCCCACGCGCAGCACGTAAAATTGAGTTTTCGCGATGATGTTTCAGGTTCTGTAGAGGGCATCAGTAAATTGTAATTATGTGACCTTTGTTGAGAAATCAGCTCTTCGAGATAATTGTAGCTGAAATGCTGAATGGTGAGCAGTATAATGCTCAAAATATTTTTCTCTTTGCTTCGAATTGACCAATGAATTGCCTTCAAGATACCTACCTTGAACTCAGAAATTCTCAAAATGATCTCTAAAATCCTTTAATCTGATTTGCAAAAAACCAGACAAAAAATTAAGAGAATGTCAGGAAAAACGATTTTTTGACATTTGAACCACCGTCAATTTAAATGCGGCTCGACAATTACTGGAGATAATAATTCACCCGTCTGCATATAAAAAACGTGTAGAGTAATAATAAAGGTGCAAGACTTTTGCCCGCAAGACTTTCCATAGCAATGAAAAGCAGGAAAAACAGAGTTACCACGACTAACACGTCTCTCATTGAATCTTCAATATTTTAATAATTTAATTGCCCCTGAGTCGCGACAAATTACACATGTGGTTTACGTAGACTGAATGGAATGATATTGAATAATTAAAGTCGCAGAGGTGAATGGACGAAATATGATAGTCGCATCGATCGATTCCAAAAATTAATACCGGCTATTCAACGTATTAATATGCAATATCTCCTATAAATATTTGGATTGAAAGTTCAATTAAGAATAATCAGCACTAATATAAATGTGTATACTTACTGACTGAGATGCAAATGCACTGCAGAAGCCGGTTGGTTTTGATAATTAGCAAGATTAGTCGAAAATCAAGACTTGGCGATAGAGACTAGACCGTTGCTTGCTTAACAGTTTCGCAATGAAAGATTTCGCAGTCAAGTTGGACGAAAAACTGAATACACCTGATCATCTGCTTTCGTAAAGATCAAGTAGCTCTATAGCCTTGAAAAAAAGTTACTCCTTCAATAATTCGTCTTAATGTTTGCATACATTTAAGTATTAGATATGTTCGCATGATGAGTGATGGTACCGTAATTGATTATCAAAAGAAGCTTGCCCTAAGTTTACTGTGATGTGTCCCAACTTACAATCAATAATCATTTTGAAAAAAATGCATAAAAGGAAAAATGAGTGTCTGATGCCTTTGCATCAATGGAAATAAAAATTGGAAATGTGTATGCAACGCTGACTGCAAAAGTTGGAAGTTAGATTAAAATGATGATTTTTTGGTTAGAGAAGTGGAAAACTCCTTTTTTTAAAATTGCGGTAGGGATCTAAGTGGAAAAACTTAGGTTTCCATGAGGAGAAATTTTCCTGGGAAACTTTGACAGGAGAACACAAATAGAAGCACACACACTGGGTGATTGTCCACACTTTGAATAACCACAGGGATGCGGTTTAACTTTTCCGAGCGAAGTTGATTCAAATTATCTTTCTAAGACCCGGATATTTCACAATTTTTATAGTGCCCCCGTCCTGAGTCCAATTTTACTTTTTGCATTTTCACTTCCCATACGGCCAAATACAGCAAACAATTAATCTCTCTTTTGCAGTATAAAATAGAACTTTAGAGAATAAGTCATTCAGTGCTGTCAGCGCACCGCTCTGGCGCGGCGACTCAAATAAGAACTCGAAATAAAGAAGCGATTTGCCACCGGGTTTCTAGCACTACTAAAGTAAATAGAAAGACGTCTTGCCCTGCGGGCTGATTGTTGAAATGGATGGATAAAGCTATAGACAAAGAAGACATAGGGAGTGCGGAGCGATCCTATTGGTTAAAATGGGTGGTTCTCATAGACTAAGGGGGTTAATGTTGGTTAGGTAAATAACTAACTAACTAACTAACTAACTAACAAACACCCTAATTTACTATATAGCCTCTCGTGGTTTGGCGTTAGTTAGTATATTAATTACCCCCTTTGTCCATTGCAACCACCCGGTTCCTCCAATATGATTCCTCTATATCCACTTTGTCTTCTATGTCTATAGCCTTGTCTATCAATCAGCCAGCTAGGGACTTATAAGGGAAGAGAGGAGCGATTAAAAAATTAGCCGGGCACCTTTGAAAAACCGCTCATAATCTCATTGATAAGAACATCATTAAATCTGCGATGACAAAAAGTATGCTTGGATGGAGGTAAAACGCTGAAACCCTTCGAGCGGATTATCAACGAGGATGACTCCATGTTCCTGCAGTGGATGACCTTAGCCTAGGCCAATGCGCGATCCTACACACTGCGTGCAATGAGGCTTAGAAACAAGTCTTACAATGTTTCTGTTATAGGAAGCCAATGCCGGAACCAGCGCGTTCGGACAGCAGCAATTATATTTTACGGCTTATCTAGATAAAAACCGTCCGCCCAGCTTCCGATGCCAAAGCTTGGGACCGTCTCATAAAAACAGTGTTGTCGCCACTTTTTCTACAACTGTATATGTTTATTCCTGCATGATAATGAGCCACTCTCAAAGTATCATATTGTGTTTGTTTTACCCGTTAGGTTAAAATATCACGGGAAAAACGAAAGGAAGATGACTGACTTTAACACCTTCTGTAAACATATGGAGAGTATGCCCATTGGTTGACAAATATCATCATTAGATAAAAAAGGGACATTTTTTTATCTTAGAAGTAATTGTATACTGCAGGACTTACTTGAATTTTTGGTAGCGCCTGCTGCTGAAACTGAACGAAAAAAAGAATGGTCTTTTTGCGTTATCCTGACTAATTATGCAGAAATAATCTGTTGAAAACAAGAACAAAATCTTTTTAGGTACATCACACAGGGCGTGGACATTTCCTAAAATTGAGTGGTTATTTTTTCAGTGTGTTCAGCTCATAAACACCTCTTTGTAACTGCGCCTTTTCAACTAACGGATTCATACTTGATTAACATACATATTCATAGGTTATATAGCCCTCACCAATTGTTTAATATACGAGGGCCTCTCCAAAACTTTAATTTACGGTGATTCGATGGACGCCATATTTTGCATCAGCACTACGTGCGATATTTCGCATAAATTGGCACTATTTTTTCAGCTACAATCATTTTTCTTAAATTTTGAGATCGCAATTCTGTCGTCAATGAAGGCGTAGTTATTTTTAGAGAGAAAACATCGCATTCGATACTGATATCGAAACTGCACTCGAATGCGATATTTTCACTCTAAAAAAACCACGCCATCATTACGTTGAATTTGTTTGTCAAAATTGGTAAGTGAGTGCTTTAGTCTCCTGACGACAGAATTGGGATCTCAAAATTCCAGAAAAATGATTAGTAGCTGAAAAAATAGAGCCAATCGATGCGATATATCGCATGCCGTTCTGACACAAAATATGGCGTCCATCGAATCACCTTAAGGGCCCTGATACAGTAGTGATTTTGAAAATTATCGTACTGATTCGGGAAATCTGGGAATACAGCCCTTAGATTTTAACACGGAAGGACGATCTTAAAAACTTTCCTAAAATAATACATATCCATATGAATTTTTTCTTCATCTCAGTGCCCACTCATTCCGATTCCGTGAACATCCGCAGCTAAAGCTTGCATTCTGTCAATGATTGCACGTATCTGGCGCTTAGACTTTTACTTTATGTCCATGTGCCAACGTTCATCATCCAATAAGGACCACGTCGATATGCGGTCCATTTCTAGTCTAAAAAATTATACTAAATGTAGAGAAAAAAAAGAAAGAAAAAAAATAGAGAGAAAAGCCATTTACGATGCACTATTTTCCAT